GTTCCAGGCTGAGTCATTTCTACCTTCTCCTCTCTGGTTTCATTTAAGAGAGTCAATCATCAGATATTGTCTGAGATTAACCTTCAGGGTGGATATAGCTCGCTAGCAGCCTCGCACCGAGGACCTATCCATGTCATCATTTACCCAGAATGCTTTGCATGTAAATAAAATGGCCCCGTCTGTGTTATATATTTTTAAACTTTTAGTTTAAAATGATAAAAACTGAACATCCTACAGTATTTTAACAGTTTTTATTCTACAGTTAAAATAAATGTTGGTTAAATAAAGTTTAATGTCACAGCTAATCCTGTATCCCTTTTACTTAGCCTCAAACTTAGCTCTTTATTTCAGTTTACTCAAGATTTCATGACACATTTACTCTGTTAACATAGGTTTTGGCCAAATATTTGTGCCTTCACAGAACTCATGTACATCTCACAGCAGTGAGGTCCTCACAAGTTCATGTGTATTGGACAAATGGTCCTGACAAGGTAACAAAACCAAGCACACTCACTCCATTATAGATAATTTCTGTGAACACAGAAACAATGCCAGAGGCTGACTTGGAAGAGACAGCAGACTGCAGCAGCATGAAGGGCGTAGGAAATGAAAAAAAAAAGTTGAAGCGATGAATGAATGAATGAATGAATGAATGAACCCACCTCCTTCCATGATGATTTCTCTTTGAATTATCAGTGATACATTTGAAACATTACAATTACCAATTTGAATTGTTTAAAAAAACAAAAGTAGTAATATATACTGTATATAGTCTTTTTGCTGATTCATTGTGTTTCTCAGCTCTCCCTGTGGACAGCAGCTCTGACTGCTGCAGCCTCCAACCTTCAGTCAATAGTCACACAAGGGACTTGTTGGAATGAAACAATGTGGCTTTAATCAGTTATTTGTACTTAATGATGCCAGAACCATGAAAGCAAGAACAGATAAACTTTAATCTCAGACATACATATATTCTTTTAACATTTGATTCAGGTGTTTAATGGAAAACCTTTATCTGCAGAAAGTCTGTTATTGAGCTTGTTTTGCTGTAGGTTAGGCTTGGTTAAATGATGCTGCTTCATGCACATTTACCCACATCTGTATTACTATCATTGTGGTGACCATATGTATTTTATGGACATGTTTTTGACTGGTTCTCTGCTTTACAAACACTTCTTCAGAAGATGCCTCTTGGATTGCTACGAGCAAAAACAGAGAAATAGAGAGGAGTGGATTTGCTACAATAACAAACTTCCACCAGTGTTGTATCTTCATGTTCTTCCTTGCAGACCTCAGTGTCTCTTGATCTGAAGGCTGAATCACAGATACTACATGTTACCATTAAACAGGGGTTTTGKTTGTGGTACATGATGATCTTCCTGGTAGCAGTAAAGTCACTTTTCTAAGAATCTGCCAGCTGGTCCTCTCAAAACAGTCCTGAAGCATCTGAACTGTTGTGCTGGGTCGCACAGCGGTGGTCCTCTGAGTGGGCCTGTTGTGTTGCAGCACAGGGCGGTGAGCAGGATCCAGCACGACAACAATGTGGTCAGAGAAGTCCAGGTGTTGGCCAGGCGCTACTTTATAAACCTTCCATCTGTCTGTGTACACTGGTCCAAAGGTCATCTTCTCTGGGATCTTCTCCCTTTACTCTAGATGATTCATTGATAATTAAATGGTGATGAAAAACCACTTACATCAAGCTAGTGTGTCTTGGCCAGAACAAAACWTTCAGTGTGCTGTGCTGACCTTGAGGAGTGTGCTCAGGAACATTATTTTTTGCTCATATGTAAAAGGAGGAGGAAAGTAAATAGTGAYGAAAGATCCAAAGCTCCTTGACTCCTTGAGCTCCTGGTAACCTGTGTTTTTCTGTTTTTGATAGTTAGCGTGGTTGTAAATAACACAAAAGTAATAGACAACAACAATAGTAGTAGATCATAATTGCCTTAAAGTGTACATTTTGTCAAGTTGTAGGCCTGTGAAAGCAAGTACCGGTAGCTAAAATTGCAAACTCGTGATCTGTGGCAATTGCAGTAATGAACCAATAAAAAACTGTTTTATGCCTTTGTGAGTTTGAACGATGTAAGCTAACTGCTACTTAGGGGGCTCAAAGCCCAGTTCTTGTATGTTCAACAATAATTTTTAGGGGTTAGGTTTAGAACTAAGGTGTGAATTGAACATGGGGTTAGGGTTAGTTATAGACTGGGGGTGGTTAGGTGTGGGGTAATGATCAAGACCAGCAGGCCTTATGGGTGCTAAAGGCTGGTCCTAATAAAGTGGAATTCCATTTTGTGTGCATTTCTGACTGAAATACATTATTTTATGCCTCCGTTTGTCAATTTGCTACATGTTGGATTTATGGTCATAGGTTGAAATATATATATATTTTTAAAAAAGTACTAATTTTTCAAACATGAGCTGTACGTGATCAGCAATACAAATAAACAAGATTCCAAGAACGTTACGTAGACCTCTGTTGTGCTGTAGTGAGGGGACAAGGCTTGTTTGGTTTATTGTTGTGATCTGACATCATGCAAAGTTTGCAATCAGCTGTGTTGTTGATTTGATTTCAGTACCTTAATACAAATACTGACAACAGGTTGAAATCACCTGAGCTCTTTTACTTGCATGCAAGGAGTCCATGATTACAAACAAAGCAGCGATACATATCAGAAAAGATGAACTAACAACTTGTTTGTCTACGTGTTCTTTATACCAACTTGCAGAGTTGTAAAGGATCTAGGTACAAATACTTATTTGCTGTACTTAAGTAGAATTTTTGGGTATCTGTACTTTACTTGAGTAATTATTTTTCAGCCTACTTTTCACTTCTACTCCTACATTAAGACACAATTTATCTGTACTTTCTACTCCAAGAGCAAGAAGTAGAAAGTCGTTATTTTTATTTAATTTTTGAGTATTTCCATTCCAGATTGCTCATTTTAAATCAATTCTTTTACTTTTAATATTTAAAGGCACAGTGTGTAGGATTTTGTCAATTCTTTTAGCCGAAATTGAGATAATCACTAATGACAATAATAAAAAAAATCATGTCTAA